CAGCAGACAACAACAACCGTCGATAGTCATGAACCAAAGCCAAACCAACAACGGCACCTGACAAAAAACAAAACGCGCACAGACACGCAAACAAAAACAAAAACGCGCACCTTGCGATCGCGTACTCGCCCATCTGGTACCTCTCCAGCGTATTGATGATGTCAAACCTCAGTCCCTGTGGGATGCGCCGCCCGGCCCCGACCATGTCGATAGCCTGCCAAAGCAATAGAAACCCCCATCAACCAATTCACGTACGTAGGTGTAGAGGACGGGTGGAGTAGGCGGTGAAGTGGGGAAGAAATCATCACATTACAGTACGGAGGAGCAAAAGACGGAAAGCCCCCCGCCACGTCGAGAAGGGACAACGAGAGAAAGCACTACCGGTACAGCCGTGGGCGGACCTGTATCTGGCGGGTGGCCGGTTGCATATAGGGCGGGTGCAGTCTCTTGACAAGGACAGGATATTGTTGACACCGACGGAATATCGGTGTTGGGCGGGCGACATCGGCCTGGTACATACTGTCCATGACGTTAAGATATATCACACACCCCGGACCGAATCCAAAAAGCTCGATTACTTCACGGCGAAGAGCATGGACGAGCCAAACGCCACGCTTTCGGAAAGCTCTCGACGACAAGTTATCCATCCAACGCCAGCAGTTTCGCCACCGCCACTGGTTCTGGCGTACAGCAATGAACTGGCGTACAGTAATGAAGGTTCGGTCCAGGGAGGGGGTGTGGTATATGATGTCACATACGGTTCCGTTAACACTGCGCTATTTGCACTTCCATGTGCGGAAGTCGCTCTACTTCGTAAGGTACCCTGTGCGCGAGACCACGGACCTGTTTTCCGTGGGCATCCTTCGCCGACGGGTCGGCGCCGTACTCCAGCAGAGTGATGGCCACCTCCAGGTGCCCGCCCCGACACGCCAGGTGCAACGGATGCCGACGGCGGTCGTTGAGCGCCTGAGGTCCACATGCCGGCCGGTGGGTGGTACCAGTCCGGTAGAATGTTTGATTGGTTGGTTGGTTGATTGGTTGGTGGGTTGGTTGATTTGACGCGGAGAAGCGAGGCACCCGCCGACACCCGCGGTCGATCGACAACACAGAGAGGACAACAGCCGCAATAAAAAAAAAAGAGGGAAAATCGTGGGGGACCGCGATCAACCTTCGAACCAGCCAGCCCGTTCCACCGGGCGACTAGCATACAGAAAAAAATAAGCATAGGTGTGTTCGGATTACGTTCGTCTCCACAATCTTTCAAGGATGCACGCGACAACAACCTCTCCTAGCCCTGTGCGTAGCAGTACATGGTAAACCTCTCCATGCTAGCAACAAAAACTAGAGTCATGGTGAAGCAAAAAAAAAGCGAACTCACGTTGAAAGGGGAACCGTGCGCCAGCAGCAGCCGCACCACGTCGGTCCCCGCCAAGCCGCACGCTAGGTGCAAAGGCGTGTTTCCCTTGGCGTCTTGCGCCCCGACCGACGCCCCGCGGATCACCAGCTGCTGCGCGGCTTCCATCTGCCCGTAGCTGTGTCACGGTCACGGTCAGCAACGAACCGTACCACCGTGTGCCGCGCGCCAGTACACAGCGGGAGGGAGGGAGGGAGGGAGGGATGTCGTGGTAAGGGTGTGGGTGTAATTACGGTGCGGCGAGAGCAAAACGAGGGAAGCAAAAGCGAAGGGGGAGCGTTATGGGGACCTACGTAGGTCTTGGGGTTGGGGGGACGGGGGTGAGCTACACCGAGGTGAGGTGCATGATGGGAACGCGCGCAGCGCCCCAAGCTCGATTCTCAGGGGGAGAGTGAAAACAACGAACGCCTGAGATAGATAGTATGAGCGGCACACAGCGGTGTCTTACACACTTCGATTTCGGAGGCTGGACCCTTGCCTGCGGTCCAACGTCGTCCGCGGCTCCTCTTGTCGGAGGGGGGCGCGCTGACGAGAAATCGTTATTCTTGCTTTTTACCCCGCTACAAGACTGGCTCCTCTCCATTGCACACAAACACCCACCCACACTGACTGACTCACCCGCAAGCGTAGTGGAGCGGCGTCTGCTTCTTGCCGTTCCTGGCGTCCACCTCTGCCCCAAGGCGCAGCAGGAGCTCCACGACCACGGGGTGACCCCCCTCGCTAGCGGCGTGAAGGGGGGTGCACAGAGCGCCGTCCCTCGCGTCCACGGCGGCCCGGTGTTCCTCCACCAGCAGCTTGACCACGTTCGTGTGGCCCTTTTCTCGACAACCGGGGGTGCGGTGAAGGGGGGGTAGGGGGGGGGGGGGGGAGGCAAGCGTGCTTGGTTTGGGCTTTGCTGCCCTTGATCGTTCGACAACCGACTGCGCTTTCCTGTGGAGACGAAGGAGTGCCGTTCGTTTCCCTTACAAGCAAGCCCAACGTTTTGGGCAACTATTATTTTTCGTTTCAGTGATTTTTTGGGGGAGGTATTATTTCGTGTGTTTCAACTAGCATTAACCTTGCGCTGCGTGTGTGGTTCTTTAGCGAGCATCGACCGCGCAAAAATCGGCTCCCTAATGACAGGATGGCAAAGCGGGAGAAAAAATGCCCACATTATGGTGTGTGTCTTGAGCACTTAACAACAAGTACAACGGAAGGTATACTATGTACGGTCTCGGCAAGTCCTGCCAGGAACCAGTCCACAGCATCTGTCTGTCTGTCTGTCTGTCTCTCTCTCTCTCTCTCTCCCTCTCCTTTGTCTATCTGTCTGTCTGTTTCCCTCTCTTGCTCGCTCTACCTCTTCATCTCATTCTCCCTGCCTGTCATTCTCTGTGCGTTCTCTACTACTATAATATCAATCGTCGGTCTCTCACCATTGCCCCCGCCAGGTGTACGGGAGTGCAGCCCAGCTCGTCCACCTCGTCAACCTTGTTGAATCCCGCCAGCAGACACCTTCGAACCTCCTCCACATCGCCCTGCAAAACAACCAAGGACAACAGAAAAAACACAACACACAAGAGAGAAGAACAACCAATCCCCAAGTCAGCGAAGACATCAGTGAACCTCTCCCTGCAAACATGGTAGCCAACAATAACGCAACACACAACTCAGCAAAGATACCTTCGAACGTCTCCCTGCAAAATAGCCAACTACAACACAACACACAACACACAAGAGAAAAAACAAAAAAAACTCCGAAGTCAGCAAACATGAGCGAGCGTAATGTATGCACGTTGGCAGAGCAGGAAACCAGGTGCTGAATCTCGCCGGCCAATGTAATGGTCGGGGGGCAAAGGAAGAATAAAAAATCATACAACTTCTATCGATGAATGGGAACGGCGGCCCGGCCTGATTCTTGTTCTTCAGACACCCAGGTGGTGGTGATGTTGAAACCCACCGATCGGCAGGCGTCAATTCCGGACCGTTCCTTGGCGTCATTCCGTCCAGGGTGGAAAAGCGAAATAACAAAATATCATGCCTAAAATGTTGCCCAAAGTACACGCACCAACTACAACAACAGACACAGCAAGCGATCAGAGGGACATACGCACGCCCACATGAGGAGAGGAGAAGAAAAAAGAGAGAAAACCCGTCACAGCCGCTGTACCCACACACTCAAACGAAAGAACGAGATCCGTCAAATCAATCCAATCAATCAACATACAACGCAACGGGCCCCACCACCTTTACACCTACACACCCAACAACACAGCCACGTCTCCCCTCTGACTCACCGCCTGGGCGTAGTGGTGTATCTCGCTCTCTTCCACCTTCACCTCTAACGACGAAGACGGCGGAACCCGCGCAGCCCCCTCCGCCGCGCCCCCTGCTCCCCCCCCCGCCGCCCCCTGCTGGGCTAGCGGCGCCCCCTCCAGGCCGGCGGGAGCGGCACCATCCTGATTCGACGAACTAGCGGCGGCAGCAGCAGCAGTCGTCTCTCCTGCTGTAGCTGGCGCTATCTGCTGGTGAGCCGGGTGGAAACGCGAGGGCACGAGGGAGGGCAGGGGGTGTCAACGCTGCTGCTCTTGTGTGGTGGTGGTGGTGGTGGTGGTGGTCTGCATGTTGACGCATACTATAATAACGAGCCATCCACGGCGGTTGATGACCATTGGCTCTGCCACACGGAAGAAAAAAGAAAAAAGCTCGTTCGCTCGAAGCACCAAACGCTCAAAAACGACGTCAAAAAAGAGTTGACCCAAAACAAAATAGCTCCTTTGGGCTCAATTTTTTTCTTCGGCGCCTTCCAGAACTCTTACTTTATTAGGTCACCTCGCCAATCGACTCCGCTTTTGGCCGATTTAGGGGGGGGAAGAGCCACTAAGAAGACCGGCCAATCAGAGAAAAACTCGGTGTGACACAAGGATGGCAAATTCCCGAAGGAAAGCTCTGAATGGCCGTCGCTAGAGCGCAAACGTTTGTATTCAACTGCTGACTTCGGGAAACGCGTTCTGCCATGCTACATCCATCATCCCTGAAAAATTCATCGGGGGCCCCGTGGACGTTCTTTATTGTACCCACTCAATCCTGAATAGCTTCACCACCACGATCACCAACCTAAAAAAAATTACATACTTCTTGTCGTAATCCACGTGACCTAACGGAAGTTTGTGCATTTTTCAGAACTTAGCTCGGGGTGGTTCAGTACCATACTCCCCCTTGAAAAAAAGTCATGGCGATCAACCGCTGATGACGCCTGTAAGCAAACCCATTCTTGGCCTCTGATCCAATACTTCTGTACGTGCGGAACATACACACACCGGAGCAGGTAAGCTATCCCTGCTATACCGTCATGTCAATAAACAGTCGAGTCAAGACGAAACCCAAGCTGCCAAAAACGATTGCCGCCGCAAAGCTGCCGCAAAAAAATCCATGGCCAAAACTTCAGTCTCAAGCTCGGTGGAAAGACCTTTACTACCCATCAGCAAAGCTATCGCCAACGGCAAAATTCACCCCGCCCCCCCCCCTTCCGGTTTAAATAGGACAGGGAAAATATTCTTGAGCCACCTTAGAAAAGGAACGAATGGATCATTGGTGACTCGGTCCCCTTTGTGGCAACAATGCGCCATCCTTTCGAGGACGCGTGGTCAATGGTCTAACAACTAAGGCACGCAAAACATGAGTACCCCCCCCCCCAAGTGAGTCCACATTCTCACTATTATATTATAATGCGGGGCAAAAAAAACAAAAGCGCTTCTCAAGGGTCTTAAACTACGTGCGAAGTCGACCAGCCTTACGCCCGTAGGCCAAGGAAGCGACACTTAGAGAGTAGGTGTAACTCGGTGTGACTTTGATGCGCTGCTGTACATAGCAGCACAGAGTTAACGAAAGGCGGAAGTCACTCAAGCGAACTACATCCTCTTCGTGTGACCGCGGGTGCACCGGTGTTACTCGCTGTGGAAAAATAAACTCGGAATGTACACGTAGTCCAGCCTTACGCGGACAAAAATGGTCCTGTCGTCCTGTCACGGAGTCCCCCAAAACACAAGAGCTCGATGTTTGTCAAAAGGAAACACACACCCATGGTCCTTGCAAGAGCTCCAACAACAGGCAGGGCAGGCAGGTCGAAAAACTCTAAGCCACGATTGGCATGCGGTCCCTGGGCGTACCACGTGGTGTACCAGCCAACTGCTGGCTGATTTGGGTCCCTCGTATCCAACGTTCGGATGGGTGGCCCGCTACCCATCGCTGTTACGACGATGCCTTTGGAGGCAGAACGCACTTCGTGTTGATACACTGGAGGTAGACATGTGGTCGGTCTTGGGGATACCCTGCTGCTCTGCTTTCGTTTAGTGAATCTGGATCGTCATCACAGGCGTCTTTTCGCAGGCCGACAGCAGTGTAGCGGGGACCAAAGCTCCTACCAACGAGGTCAGTCCTGGTGTGTCCATCTGTCAAGTGGCTGATGGTCTTGAATTTGGTGTTCAATCTACGAGGGTGGCACAGCTGCATGATGACCGCCTCCTGAGGGTGCAAAAAGAGGCGGCCCTGAAAACAACAACAACCGAACTATAACAGTGGCATAGGGTTTAGCCAATCAGCGTGGGCCTTCGAGGGGTCAAGTCAAATCACCCGTTACTGTAAATCGTTTTCACGTCAACGACACCCCCCGGTGTACCGTACCGCATTCTGCATTCTATCGTTTGCGTGACGAGAAAACGAGGAAACGCAACGTTCGAGATGGCCAGGCCAACAACCGCCAGAAACTCGAGTCCAACCAACCGTACACCATGTACATACGTACCATGGTACCCTTTATTGTACTTGGTCGATGTCGCGGCTGGGGGTCAGGGTAGCAGGTGTGTCAATTTTCAAGTGAGGCCGTCGTACCAACTGTAATGCCCCCACCCCCCACCCCTTTTCGAGGACGCGCCGTCAACGGTCTAACCGCCAAGGCACGAAAAACATTAGAGTACCCCCCCCCCCCCCCCGTGGGTCACAGGGGGAAGGGGGGCCAAAAAAACTGACTGGTGTGGCCCCAAGGAATCCGTCAGGCCCCGGGGTTTATCGGGGGGCCCCCGGGGCCGGAGAAACCCCCCCTTCCCCTGGCGGGGGACTTGGGCGGGGGGCGGCCACTTTAAATTTTTTTTCCCGGGCGGGGCCCAGGGAATGGTCCCCCGATTCCCCGCGGGGGGGTTGGGGAGGGGTTTGGGGGAAACCGGGGGAGGGACCGGGTATAAAAACGGGGTGGGAAAAAAAAATGGGTGGAAAGAATGGTGGTGGGTTTTGGTGCCCACCAATTTTTCGGAAAGGATCCAAAGGGCCCCCCCCCGACCAGGGGGGGGAAATAATTTCCCCCCTGAGGGTGGGTTTTCCCCCTCCCGGGGGACAACCCCGGGGGGGGGGTCCCCCGGAAAACTAAAATGGGGGCCCGGGAATCCGAAAACTTTATAAAATTAAAAAAAGGAAGGACCGTTAGGGTAAGGGCGGGGAACAAAAAGGAAGGGCCCGAAAAAAAACATTCTTGGGTGCCGGCACCCCCCCCAGAAAAAGGGGAAAAA